TGAGGAAAACTTTTAGGTATGGGTTGCGATCTGGTTGGATGCTGTAGGTCAAAATTACTCTTTTCCTAACTCAGATATTCTGGCAATATTGTACACCTGTTCTCTGGTCTGAGCTATATGTGTAAACTGTTCTCTGAGAGGCTGAGACTTTAGCCTTTACTAAGCCATAGAGTGCCTTCTGATTAGTTTGAAATGTAGTTGAGCATGCATCTAACTCACAGAATGACTGTCCAGGCTCTTTTTCTCATCTCCTAGCCCACAGTGTTGGTACAGTAGGGTTAATGTTAGCACAGCTTTGTGCTGAGAAAGCTGAGCACAGCACACCTAAGGACATTACACATTAGGCTGTCTAATTAGTCCTGAAGCTCTTAGATATCCATTCCTTTGGTACCTGCTCTCTTTTGGTGGTTTAGAAAAGTCATGCAGAATATGATGTACCATAGCTGTATGTTTTCCATATTGTTTGCACTACTTTGGACAGGTGACAACTGTGGTGTTGGATTCCCTTCCAAAAGTACAGTGGATGGCTCCCCAAATACTACAGGTTTGTGGCAAAGATGATGCTTATGCTTCAGCTTGATTAATGCATCCAGAATACCATCAGTGGAGTCTCACTCTGAAAAGACATGTAAGAGTAGTGAGATATCTGCTTGATAGAAATAAATATTTCTTGATTATATTGGTTGTTTAAAACATAAATACAAGTTCTGACACTTATTTGGAAAATATTTTTTGCCTGTAAGGTAAGTTTCAGTATCACAAAAGACACATGATCTTTCGTAAAATAGCATGTGATATAAACTGATACTGCTGTATGAAAGAGGAAACCATTACTCTGTTAAGCTAGACCTTGTAATACCATCGGACTCTAATCATGCTTAAACATGAGAAAAAGCTTTTTATTTGCTGTACTCAGCATGTAGATGGATAGACTCTGAAGAGGTTCACCATTATGTGTATACTGAAATGATTGTCTCATAGAAATTTTAGTTTTAGACAGGATTCAGAATAAACTTTAGGAAGTGAACTTCATGGAATTCTCTGTTGAGTTACTCTGTAAGTTACTGTTTCGGTTCCTAATGTGAAAAATCTACAATGATAATTCTGAGGCAGAAGCTGTTGAAGAACTTGGTGCTGCCTCTCAGACTGCAATTTTCTGGATTACAAATTTCTGATCTTTACTATGAGACTGGACTCCATCCTTCATACAGACCTTGGATGTTGTATGATTAATGTAGTCTTGATACTCATTATTCTGCTTTTTTTTTCCTAATAGTGTCAGGAAAAAATTGGTGTTGCATTGTAGTCCAAATTATTTTCCATTTTGGCCTTACTATTTTTAATTCTTCCCTTAGTTCTTAGATTACAAATTAAAGTTTTCATGTAAAAAGTAAAAAGCCAAGAAAAGGTCACAACTCTTTATGAGGATCCAATGGAATTGCATTTCATAGAATCATAGAATGGCCTTTTCACAGACCATAGAATGGTCTTGGAAGGAATCTAAAGATCATCTAGTGTCACCCTCCCATATCCATGGGCAGGGTCACCTCCCACCAGACCAAGTTGCTCAAAGCCCCATCCAACCTGGCCTTGAACACTGCCAGAGGTGGGGCATCCACAGCTTCTCTGGGCAGCCTGTTCCAGTGCCTCAGCACCCTCACAGTAAAGAATTTCATCATAATATCTGATTCAAAGCTCCCCTCTTTCAACTTGAAGTCATTGTCCCTCATCCTGTCACTACATGCTCTTGTAAAATTGCCGTTCTTTTTTCATGCATAGATCTTCGAACTCTGGGTTGTTCATAGAGTCATGTTTTTATACAGAAGAAGTTGGTTGTTCTCATAGTAATCAAATATTTTCACAAAATAATTTGTGTTTAATAATTTTTTTTTTTACTTTTAACCAAAGATAGTCGGAGCACAGAAGTCCGGAAGTATAAAATTAAATTGACATGAATCCGAAACAAAAGACCAGAGAGAGAAATTTCACCCAGCTTTCCGTGTTGGGAAGGTCTACTTTCGTGTCCAAAAAATTAATGTTCAACATTCTCTTGATACTTGAACAAACTAAGTTTTTAGGCTAGGAAAATTAAAATAATATTTCTCAGTTATTAAAGGATTAACTTTAACAGAAAATGATGCCAAACTCCTATTGAACCAGAGTCCTGGTGAACTGTTTTCTTATAATTTCTGAAACTAAAAAAATTTCACAGGTATACTTAAAAAATTGAGCAGGTTTTCGGGATATCGTAGACCCAAATTCTATAGGTATGTTCTGGTAGCAGTGATCTACTGAATAATTTGTGGTAAAAGCATAAGCATTTTGGAGGTGCAAGTTAAGATTTAAGACTTGATTTGCTGGATTTAGTTTTTCAAGAAATATTTCTGTATAGCCATGTGGACAGAGACTGTAAGGGTTTTATTAGAAATTGTGCCTTTATGGTATTTTATTTGAAATTATATGATATGATATTAATTATATATAGTTATATTACAGTATGGTGATTTCTAGGGATCTCTTTTGGAAGAAGAAAGCAGTAGGAAAATAACCTCAAAACAAATGAAGAATAATACTGTTCATGTATTGGTCCTATTGAAGTCAAGAGCAGAACCTGCATGACATAGAGGAACAGGTTTTGGTGTAGTCTGTGACTCTTAAATTGAGTTATGTTTTAAAGCACTCGGTATTCCATTTTTGAAAGACGAAAATAAAAAGTAGTGATACAATATGAAGTTAATCATTAGTGAAATTTCTGTAATTCTTGTGGCTTAAAAGTCAGCAGCAGCAGCAGTTGGTCTTGAGGATATTAAAGGTCCTTTTAAACTTAAATAATTCTATGAGCACTTCACAGGTGTAGACTTTTTATTGTAACAGTAATGTGATTTTAAATTGTAATGGATTGAATTTGTTGACTCTATTATGAGTTACTATTATAGTTCTAAAGCTTGTGTTCCATATAGAGCTCTTTTTTTACATGCAACTGAGAAATCAGTAAGATGTGTGTGTTGAATTGGTAGGTGTATTTCTCTTTTGTAAAAAGGAAGAATATAGTTCAAGTTAGAAAATCAGTTCCAGAGCTTGGGTATGACTACATTTCACTTATATGCTGACACTATTTCTGTCCTCTAGGTTTTGTTGGATTTTTTCCTTTCTGTGTACTGCGCAGGTTTTGTTCAAACAAACATGAAGTCCAGTTTTCTTTAAAGCACTCTTTTGATTGCATGGCTTGTCTGCGCCTCATTTTCCTGTTTTCTTTTTTTTTTTTTTTCCCATGTGTTAATGAGCTAATGGTTATAAACAGGCCTTTTACTGATCATAGGTGGTAATGACATCTGTTTGCAACTACATATGGCCTAAACCATGCAAAATGAGGAACAGAATGTATTTAAGGAAGTCAGCAAAAACACGGGCAACTTCTACTCTCTGACGTATTTCTTGCACTTACTGTATGAAGAGTTGTGTTTTTTCTAAAACAAGTGCTCAATATCTTTAATTTGTAATTTATTTGTTGAATTTGTGAGTTTATCTTAGGCTTTATGAAAAGCATATTCTGCATTAATATAATGGCTATGCCCATTTGTCTGTTTCCAACAAATACTTACTTAGTATTAGTAGCTTACTAAGGTGTTTGCTTGATTGATTTTAATCAGCTTTGGACAACCTCATTTCTTGATTAGCATGAATTTGGAGATTTATTAACTTAACCTTTTTTTACACTGCTTTTTCTAATTTTTGTCAGTATACCTGACTTATTTTATGTGGGGAATGCCAGTATTTGAGATGGTAGTGCCACCTGATAATTGTACCAAATTTTATCTTCTCTATTGAAATTAGTATTTGTCTTAAGAATATGCTCAAACAGTTGCAAGCAAGTGATGTTGTCAGGACCTTGTTAATAAGGGATAAAACAAAACTGCTAGTTAGTCTTAAGAACGTATCTTCTGGATAAAGTTTGTTGATTAAAACCTTTATTACTTGCCAGCTGTTTGTCAAAACTGTTCGAACACCTCTGGCAATGGAGTTTCATGAGTTTCCCCCTCATCAGTGCAGTAAAAAGTCAGCTCAAACCACTTCCATTGGCTTTTTAAACTAACCAGCCCTTTTAATTATGCAATCAATTAGGCAGACAGTTTACATCATTCCTTCTCCAGCAATGGCACTGAGGTGCTAACTTCCAGCTACCTGGATGCATTGACCATATGGGAATTATGTCATCATTGTCTTGCATCTTGGTCATGCATAGATGAGTCTGCTACTGGATATCAGGGATATAACTTACAGTACTGCTACCACTGAAACATGTCCTCTCTGAGCAGGTTTGGTAACTAGGCCAAGTGTGGCAGTCTTGTATTGTGCCAGGTAATTGCTGCACATGGATTGATAGCTAGAAAAGGTCATGGAATACAGCAGTGTAACAAAATAAAGTACCAACCTTGAGCACAGATTCTGTGACCTAGAATCTATGTTTTTCTGTAAGTCTTCAGTTTGACCACAACACTTGTGTGTGTTTAAGGATGTAATGGCTACAAGCTGTAGATTTACTTTAAAAAGTACTTTTCTCAGGCAGTTCTTAATTAACCATTTGTCTAGTTACAGAATATGCAGTTAAGGTTGTTTTTGTTAGGGCAGTGATACATACAACTTGAAGTTTCACCAGAAACAAGCCCAGAAGGTGCAATATTTTGTCAAGAAATTTAACAGCATGTCACATACAAAATACTGTCTAATAAGTAGAATAAGTTACTGCAGAAAAAAAGTCTGCATAAAACAACTATTGTTAAGAATGTAAATTTGGATTTAGAAAATTCGGTGATGGTCTGAAAATGTTTCCTTAATATTTTGAGATCTGGTTTTGATTATGGAGTCATTTATGAAAGCAGAATTATTTTCAGCTTTTACATGTCTCTGTAATACTGTTAATAGGCAGTTTTATGTAAATGTTGTGTTATGTTTCTGATTTTTTGTTACCAATGTACTATACCAGTACTGTCATTTTCCAGGTATTTCAACAGCCTTCTTTAAGTGTGCTAGAGTGCTACCTTACTATGCAAGAATCTGAAATGGAGCTTTTACAGAAAAAATTGAAAAAAGCGAATCTTAACCTAGCAGAGCATAATTTGTACACTACAGATACTCAGTAAACCAACAATATAAGGACTGGAAGAAAGCATGAGGTAGGGTAGTTTTATTGTCTGGTGTATTTGTGTGTAAGTCAGGCTGGTGAAGCCAAACGTTTTTGCTCAAGGGTCCAGATAATAATTTTAATATCTGTTGACGCTGCTTATAATTCTGGAAGCTTGTTTGAATAGTTCCTGTGTTATCTGCCAAAGACTTGTTAAAATAGCTGTTGGGAGTAGAAGGTTTTACCTTATTAAATAATGAATAAGGGATTCTTAATTAAATGAACTATTTGAAGGATAAATTCTTTGTAGGTTTGCTAAAATGAATATTTAACAGATATTTTGTCGTGTTTATCAGAATGACCATCTTTCACTGTAAGGAAAGTGAGAGAAATAGAAATGGTTATTATTACGAATTTTTAAATAAAAGAGATTTTTTTCCAAATTCTTGTCTTTTATAGTGGGTTACAGTATTTTTTTCTAGAAAGAATGGCAACAATGTCATTTGAAGTTTATACTTTCAACTTTTTATAGTGCTGGATTGCCTCATTCATGGAGTCTCACTCTTTGATTTAGGCATTAAATAACCATAACAACATCAACTATAAGCTATAGTATATAAATGACATCTGCAAAAATTTCTGTGATTTAAATGATTCTATTTAATTAGCTGAAATCGTGATGCTTTTCAGTGGGTTCAGACTCTTCCTCATCGGTTTTTATTGTGACTGTATAGAGTATGGGAAACTTGCAAGAGATCTCTTTAACAAAGTTGCAAAGGTGAACATGATTCTGAATGGTATAAATAAGGTACAAGGGTGGATCATCATGTCCACTTCCTGAGAAAGCTTCTAGTTTATCCAAATAAGGTATCTTATAACATTTTCTTTGAAGAATGTATGGCTTGTTCTTTCTTAATAACCTGTACTGTATGTTAGTTTTGGGAAAAGACACACTTTAGAACATTTCTTAAAGAGCGTGTAGCGGGCATTTCTGTGAAAATGTGCTTAAGAAAAAAACTAAATGCTACAGAGGCAGTGTAGAATGAAGAATAGAAGATGAGAAACAATCTGCTAAACATGAAGGTCAGGAAGAAGAAGAGGGAGATGTTGCTTCATGTGCTGGAAACAGGTGTTTCTCTACAGCCCATGGAGAGGATAACTGTGGGGCAGATGTCTATAATATAGCCTGTGAAGGAGCCCAGAGAAAGTGGATATTTGCTCATGGAAGCCACAGCTTGTGGAGGGGAGTCAATGCTGGAACAGTTTCCTCTCTTATATGACCTGTGGTCCATGTAACACCTGCCCTGGAATAGGTTTATCCTGAAGGACTCCAGCCTGTGGAGATGCCCTGTGCTGGAGAAGGAGAAAAGTGTGAGGAGAAAAGAATGGCCCAACAGGAGCTGTTATTGATTGCAAACCTTCCACCTGCATAGCAGGTAATAAAAAAGTCAGGAGTGATGGAATGAAGTTGTGCCTGGGAAGCTGGGAGCTCCTTCTGGGTAGGGAAGAAGGTGTTGATTAATTTTTTTTTTCTTTATTTCTTACAACCTAAATATATTTTAACTGGCAATAACTTAAATTGATCGTCTTCAAGTTGAGTCAGTCCATGATACTGAGTGATAAACTGTGGGTTTATCATCCCATTTTCTCTTTCTGTCTTAGCAAGGAAGGAAAGTGGGAGAGCAATTGAGTGGATGTTTGATCTTTTGCCAAGGTTGGCACCCCACAATGTCTTTTTCTGTTTCCTCAGGGGAAAGTAAATGAGACTGCTGTGTTTGTTGTGAACTGTGTCAAAATAAAGCAATTACACTGCCTTGAGTAAAACTAAATACAAATTTTAAAGGCTACTGTAGAAAATCTCTTCTTGTTTTGATATGTAGATCTGAGTCATGCTCTTTCAATAGTCAGGGCAGTTTGATATGTTCACTTTTTCAAAAGGGCACACAAGTCTCTATTAAAACTTTCATGAACTCAATTGGGAAGCTTTGCATTTAGACAACACAATAAGTGAAAATGTGGAAGTACTCTGGATTTTCTAAAATAGAGAAGGAAGTATTGCTGTGGTAGTACCTTACTCTTTACCCTTTTTCCCTTTCAGTGAAATATCTTTTAATTGCCTTGTTTTTCAGCCTTTTATGACAAAATTATAACTGTCAGAAGTTACTAGCACATGATTTGACATGAAGAGAATGTTGGATATTCAATGTTTGTTTTAAAAAGATGATCCTTTTGACTTTACAAAGGCTGTTGTGCTGCCCTTCATTCCCCCTTAAGTACATTCCCAGGACACAAAGAACAAATAAGCATGGAATGAATCAATTCTGATCAGAATGACACTGCTTTGATGACTTACTGCTCTAAAAAGGTTTCTAAGGCTTTGAATGAAAGAACAGTTGGAAAGGTGTTAAAAAGAGGAGCCTGGTACAAGTGGAAACTTGGCACTACTGTGATAAATTGGGATCTGTGGCCACATGACTGCATGCTTCCAGCTATGTTTGTATATATGAAGCAGCATATATACATCTGTAGCCTTGTGTTGGTTTCTTTATGAATTGCAGAAATCCACATCCCTTCCCTACAGTCACAGAGAGTAATAGCAGCAACTTGTTCTTCAAAAGGTGATTAAAAGCTTTGTTAAATGTGATTGTGATGTCCTGTTTTGTGATATTGTGGGATTTAGAGGCAATTGTAACCATCATAGTCCAGTCTATGTGAAAAGTGGTATAGTGGTGAGTGCTGTTGTGTATGAAGTCTTAGGAGTCAGTGGCTTGAACCTTCCTAGAGCTCTTTTTGGAGCTTAAACTTTGTAACTTTGAGAGTAATATATATTTCTGGTAGTGATTGAAATGACTTTCATATGTCTGCTGGGTAAATCAGTAGGGTTTTGTGGTTTTCTTGTAGCTAAGCTTTCCCATGGTATGGTGCATAGGAGTTAGAATTGCCTTTTATTCATATACATTCTATATCATTCTTCTAAGTCTGTTGTGTCAAGATACTGAAAAATTGTGTTAACTTGCAGTACTGGTAAAGTTCCTGTTGAAACATAGTGAATCAAGAAAGAATTTGCCATTTTTCTTCCCTTAAAACCCCACCTGTATCTGGGCAGTCTTGGGTTCAGCCTCAACGATGTTTCTGTTTCTTCAACTGATAAAAACATTAAGATTTCTTCCCACTGTCCTCAGAGCTGTATCATGGTAGTCACTGATATCATGCCTGTGCAGAAAAAGTACTCTTTAGACATTTTAGGAGGAGTTCTGACTTCCCTACTTTGGTTTGGTTTTGAGGTTTTTTATTGGTTGGGCTTTTTTATTGGTTGGTTGTTTTGAGGTTTTGTTTGTCTGCATGTTTTATTTGGCTTGTTTTGGCATTTTATTCAACACAAAACCTGTTGAATTCAAGGACATGGCTATTTGCAGTTTCGTCCCATGGTGTCTTTCATGGTGCAGACATGCACCTTGGTAACACAAGGTTGTTTAGAAACAGGCATATTTTCTTACTCTGCTCGTGTCCCATCCACTTACCTGCTATTTCTTTATGCTAAATCTTCTATCACAAAATTTCATATCTATTATATATTAGAAACTGTTTATATTTGGTTTTCTGCTATTTGGTTTAGTCTTTGATAAAAATGTTATAGGAACATTCAATGAAAAATCTTCTTATCTGGATTCCTTTACTAACTTGGATTAACACTCTTCACTGATAAAGTTGGAGAGTTTTTTCACTCCTAAATATGCAGACAATCTTTGAAACATTACATTTTGAAACATTATACACATTTCTGTATATATTTAGTACAGGTATGTCAAAATCTTTCTGTAGAATTTGAGGATTGAATTAAAAATGAAATGTTTATATTTTGCGGCAGCAGGAGCAGTAAAGTTTGCACTTGTGAGAAGAGTATTACAGATGCCATCTTTCAAACTGAGTTTTGCAGCAGCCCCAGGCAATCCAATTACAGTGTATTTTACTACACAGTCTCTTTTGTCTTGATAGAACTGTTTACCTCCTTAGTAAAGATTGGGTTCACGCTACTGATGTGCAGCTGTGAAGCCCAGACCCAGCGCCCTTTCTCCACAGACCTTTAGTCTGATCACTAAAAAGGTGAAAGCAAAAGAATTTTCTTAACACGTATCACCAATCCCATCCATTGTCACAGGGAATCATCTCCCTATCCATAACTAGTTAAAAGTTTTCTCTCTTTTTTCACATACCTTAGCTCTAGCACAATCCTAGGTAACTATAGATAAACTCTGTATGTGTGTATAATATATATACATACATATATTAAAAAAAAAATCTTATGTACTCATTGTATCTCATCAACTGTGATTAAACTAGCAAGACAATGAATTTTATCTTTTTCTGTATTTTTTTTTTCTCTTACCTCTGTTTCTTCTCAGTTTTTTGCTACCTATTTATTCCTAACAGTCTGTTGCTGGTTGATCCACTCCTTTTCCTTTGTTGTCATTCACTTTGGCAGCAAGCAGAGTGCTTTGACCTTCTGCTTCTGATTTCAGAGAAACAGATTTTCTCTATACAAACATAAAATTTACCTAGAAAACAATTCTTGAAAAATAATGCATAGTATGGTCATATAATGATTAAGGAACATAGAAGATAGAAGAGTTGTGTTTTGGTGGTTTTGTTTTGGTTGTTTTATTTCGGTTTGGTTTTGGGGCATTTTTTGTTTTTGGCAGAGGTTGGGTGTTTTGGGTTGGGTTTGGTTTTTGTTTGGTTGTTGGGTTTTTTTGGTTTGGGGTTGTTTTTAGTTTTGTGGTTTTTTTTCTGTTTGGTTAGTTTGGTTTTGGTTTTGGTTTTGGTTTTGGTTTTGGTTTTGGTTTGGTTTTGGTTGGGGGCTTTTTTGTGAGGGTGTAACACTGTTTTTTTAAAAAAATCTTGCTTGGTTGTTTGTTGGGCATTCTTATGTCTCTTTCAGTTGTGTGTCATAAGCAAAAGAATCCTGAAATCAAATGACAAAATCACATTGGAAATGTTTACATTCAAAAATATAAATATAAATATGGGATACTATTGTTTTTTGATATTTCTTGATAGATTTATTTTTTTCTCCTTTATGGAAACCCATACTATTTAAAATGAAAATGAGGTGTAATATGTCTTGTACATATTTCATACTGGAAGGTAGTGGTCAAAGAAAAAAATGTCAGTTGCTAAATGAGATACTACTCAAGATTATTTTAATTTAATGGACTAGTGAAAATACTGATATATATATACAGTATCAAAGAAGAATTTATCCTTAATTCCTTTTATTGTACATCAGTTATTTCCCAGAGAAAGTGGCAAAATGCAACAAGAGTAATCACAATTTACCTTAAGTTTCTGTTTGACTTTATGTGTTGGTGCAACAGTATTTTACCTTATTGGTATTAAGTGTGTGTTAGTATTTCACTGTTCTTAACCAAAGTTATTCTGAAAATCTGAAAGTCTAATTTTATGAGGCCTTTCTTTCTCTGCCATAAGGACATATGACATAGAATGAGCAAGAAAGCTGCCCAGTTTAAGTGTTACTTTCACATACTCTTTTCCAGATTGCTATATGAAGCTGTACATAATATAAACATATTCTTGTCTCTAGTTAGTCACATTATAGTTAATGACCATATGGTCATTATGGTATAAGATCTACTGTCTGTTGTATTTATATTCCTCAAGCATATTGTTCCTTCAACTTCACAGTGTGTTAAACTATTTCAAAGGGAAAAAAATCCTTTCCCTCTTGTTTCTGGTTGTCCTATCAAGTGTAACCTTGGACCCTTATAGAGCAATTAGACCAGCCTCTATCCCCTCCTTTGTAATGAGGTTTCTTGCATTTCTGAGTCTATAACCCTTTAGTCTTCCCTAATGGGACATCATTATTCTGAAAGAAACAATGTAAATGTAAATGAATATTCTCATTAACGAGTCACAGAGAAACCTTTAGTGGTAGCGCTGTGGTAATTCTGCTTGTTATTTCTCTTGTATTCCGTGCAGATTTTTTTTTTTTTTTTTTATAATTCATTATTAGTATTCAAAATTACTTCTTCTTTAATTCTGCATGTCTTTCATAATCCGGTGTTCCAACTAGTTCAACCATGTCCTTGTTTTATTCTCCAGAAACCACCTGTGAAACGTTCAAGGTCTCTGTCCCCAAAGAGCTCTTTTAGAGAGTCAGAGGAACTAAAGAAGCTTAAAATAGCTGAAAGGAAGATTGAAAACTTAGAGAAGACACTACAGCTAAAGGTGAACATTAAATAAAAATAAAAAGCCTGCTAGCTATAAGCTTGCATAGATAAAGATATACCAAAACAAACAGACATTTTAAGAATTAGACACATGTTTTTTATGGACTGTAAGTCTCTTTGGATCAGAGAGCACTCTTCATCAGTTTACCTACTTGCTTTACTGTGTGAGTAATCCTGAAGTCCTGCAGAAACCTAATTGAGCTGTCATCAGTAACACATACTTGTTAAATACATTTTCAAAGTTTGTGTTTGAGAATATATATTCTGAGAAATTGACATGTTCATATGAAATAAATCAAAAAATAGAAGCACTGAAAGTAAAAAGAATTTTTTTCTGTACAATAAAGCCATATTTTAAAATGCTGAGGTCAATTACTTGAAAAAGATTGACCCCTGGAAATTGTGTAAGTTATGACTCAGTTAGTTGCTGGTCTAATAAATGCTATTAAAAAAAATAACAATCTCCCTCACTCCAAGCCTTTATAGAAAATCTTAATTGAGCTTGTTTTACAATTTCTCATTTTGTCCCTGTTTCACAGATTTTTGTAGCTGTATTTTTGTTGGTTTGGTATTTTGCTACAGAAATACAGTACCTTTTGAAGAAACTATTGGTTTAAAATTGGCACCTCTGAATGCAAAATTCAAATCCTGAGTCATATTTTCTTAAAAACTTAAAATTCGTCCTCTTCTTCCCTCTCCTCCTTTTCTTCCCTCTCCTCCTCTTTTTTCTTTTTTTTTGTTGCTTATCCTTGTTCAGTTATGGAATTTGAAAGATATTTTCAAGTATGTGAAGCCTAAAGGAGAACTGCTTATATTGAACATCCTGTGATAAAAGTTAGGTAAGTGAAAAAATTTGGAAGCTCTACCAACCATAGTGATAAGTGAATTTTAGAAAAACTGTAAGTGGGAAGTATATTTCAGCACAAATGCCATAGTTCACCCATCTGTATGCTTGGGAGAGTTTAATGCACTGTCTTAACACATGTAGCGTACATGAACAGGAGAAGTTACTTAGACTTCAGATTCAGTCTTCCAGATTGTTCCTGGGAGACAGAAAATTAATTTTGTTTCGTTTCTTTCTCTCTGTTGAAAAATCTAAGGCACATCCCACCAGCTAAACCTGAGAACTGGCCTTTGGGAGGCTTCCTGTTCATTACTCTTACTTGGCCTGCCTGATACTGATGCTACAGATTAGTCTGGAACTGTAGGCTCCAGCTGTTCTGCTCTTGGAGGCAAAACACACATCAGTGTGTATGGTTAAATGATAAGAGAGCTCCACATTTCTTCTGGAAAGAGGAGTGAAGGAAAGGAGATACAGAAGAGAAAGAGTTCTCTCTGAATAACCTCATATAATAATTTGTACCATTCACCATACTGCCTTTACTTATCTTCTATTTAATCTTTAAGTATAATTTAAAAATCTGTGCAGCTTTATGATGTTACAGGTGTGGGATCTCTATCACAGAAATCCATTATGTCTTTAAGGGCTAAATCTCTCCTTGAAAGTGAATACATGAACTTCCTGCATTTTCTCTTGAAAATCTACTTGGCTTCTTTTGCAAAATGCTTTAATGGGTTGAAAAGAAGCTGTAGAGGTCCAGGTCATCATAGTAATCATGTTGTGCCACTACATTCATATTTCAGTGAGGCTAGTGCCAGCATGGCAGTGGACTAAGCTGTAAAAAAGTTAATGTCAGAACATTTCTATTGCTATTGTGTGATTTCTTAATGCTAGCCTTCTCTCAGGCGTTGTTTGTAACTAGGAAAAATGGATTTGATCAACATTTTTCAAAACTGGTCCTTGCATTATTGCTTCCTCAAAAAAAGTGTTGTCTATATGACTACTTGAAATTTTCTTGCTGAGAGAAATGGTTGCTCTGACAATACACACTCTGATGATGCATGTCTGGAATGTGAAATGATGACTTCATATATTAGTCAAAAAATTGGTAACAATTGTGAAAAAAAAAAAAAAAAAAAAAAAAGAACAGCTCTATTTTTGCAGTTTTCAGGAACAGGAATGTCCCAGTCAGTATTGCAAAGGAGCAGAAAAGGTCAATGTCCCATTGACAGATTTTTCCTGTTCTCTCAGCTGACTAATTTCTGAACAAGAAAAGTTGGCTCTTTGTTACTAGTATAAATGAGGTGATCATTTAAATTCAGAGTTTTTATACAGGATTGGATTTGTTTCTGGACATACTAAAAAGTAACAGAGTATGACTGCACCCTTGATTACAGAAGAGAACATCAAAATAAATAAGAGTATATTCTGGGTTTTATTATAACAAATTATTAAGCTGCTACTTAGATTGGTCCAAAGCATAAGTAATTCAATTTACTATTGGTCTTTAAGAAGAGGATAAGAGTTTGGTTGTTGAGAAGTAGGTATTTGATACAAACTGAGAATATGTTCATGCTCCTAGAGCTGTGATGCCTGGTGTAGCCTAGAGGAGATAATCCTGGCTTTAACTGGAAAGGTCTCAAAACACAAGAGGAGCTATTCCCTTTGAGTTTTCTCATCCTTTTTAGGTTCTAAAATTTTTGGACGTAAATAAAACTTATCAGTCTTTAGGGCCACCTTAATACTTGTTTATGTGAGCAAGATCACACTCATATTTACCTATGATTTCATCTGTAGTCCTGTTCCATGTATAGTGTTCAAATACTGAATGAATATTTCAGCTTATCCACATAACTGTTAGTGGAAAAAACTATTTTTGAAACTATTAGGTGCTTCAGTTCTTGTAAGCCTAAGCATAGTCAAATAATTGAATCAGTGTAATTTTTTAAATTTCCTTTTTACTATAACAGCAGGTCAATTTCAACAAAAATTTGCATGAGTGGTTATAATCTTTTATCCTGTCTGAACAGTCTTCCAAAAGGGAAAAAAAAAAAGAAAAAAAGAAAAAAAAAGTTTGTTTTTTTTTTAATAGACAGTGGGGTTTTTCCTCTTGCAGATTGAACTTTCTGTTACTGTTTTTCATTATTGCATGGGAAGTAGTACTGTGGGTGACACTGGACAGCTGGAGAATAATCTGGAGGTCCAGCAGTGTTAGCGATGGTTGTTCTGTCCCTTTTGTGTAAATATATACAAAACTGTAGAAGACAGTTTAGTTATGAAATATAGCTTAATTCAGACAGAGATGAATCTTAACAGATTATGGAAATTTCAGTGAATATTTTAATTTCTAAAGTGCTTAATTCAATAGAGAGAGTGATTAGGGCAGTTAATTGTCTAATTTCTATTTCTGCAAGAGCAGAGCAAGTGATAAGAGAAGGCAGTAACTGCAACAGAATGGATAATAGAACAGGTAAGCAATAATGAAAAATGTAGATTCATAAATAGGAAAGGCCAAATTCTACAGTTGGTTGCATCTCTGAAAGGGCATTGACACTAATAAGCTTATGAGGATTTATATTGAAGACATTATTTTCCAGTACCCTGCCAGACTTGACCAGTTTTTGCTAGCAATATCAAATCTCAGAACAGTTGTTTCATGAACTTCTCTTGAAAACACAATATATATAATTCTATTCTTACAATTATTATCTTATTATTCCTATTTCCTCTTGAAAAGCTTGGTAATGGTCTCTGTGTTCTTAGTCTAACATTTATATTGCTATTTATGCAGTTGTTTTTAATATCATTGTGGTATTTACATGAGTCACTTAAAATGAGTCAAAAGTACTTTTTAAACAATACAAAATTTATAAATGTATTTGGTTTAGAGGTTGTTTCAGAAAAAACCTACCACCACCACTTTGGGAAGGTATTTAATGGCAGGGTCACTTTGGACTTGATTCTGTTCCTAAATCTTTCTGTTTCCTGAGTCACTTCCAGAAAATTTCTGGAATTTTGTATATAGTACCATTTGAAACTGTAGCTGATATCTTTCAACTCTGTGCATCATGAAAGGTGGGCTGCACTTGATGAGCCAAACTTAGGATAGGTACTTTGTAGTTAGCAGTACTCTGGAACTTGCCATGTTTATATAGTGGGATTCAATTTTTATTGTTTGCAGCTCTGACTATTGGTCTGTCTAATTCATTGACTTATGCTGAATAGTCCTCCTTACATATAAGCATTAAATACTTGCAAATAAAGTACTTTGATTTATTTAGTTTTGTAGTTGCTCTGCAAGCAGAGCTCCCACTGAACTGAAAATGAAGCTCTGATTGCAAATTTTGCTACAGCATAATGAATTCTTTGCTGGTGAATTCTTTACTAGTGTGTGCTAGAGTCTGACTTGCTTTATGCTGTGAAATGTTTCTTCTTTGTGTTTTGTTTTTGTTTTTTTTTTTTTTCATAGCACTGTATTGTCCTTTAGGAAAGTCTGTTTTTATGGTCACATGATGTTATGCTGTTATATAAAGCAAGGTATATTTTAGTTTGTGTTCTGTACATTTTTTTGTATGGTTTTGATTTTATAAAAGCCATTGTAAAAAATGGTTTTATTTCTTGTTTGCTGCATTACTAGACAACAAAGTCTAGCTGTTGCAGATATATATGTATTTACAGATACAAAATGTGAGGAAATCCTGAAGCCATTTAAATGTAAGTTTTTTTCATGTGGTCAGTATTTCCTATTTGAAAATACATAGATCAGTTTTCCATTGCGAAAAAAAAAAAAAAAGTGGTTCAAATGAAAAAACAGGGCCAACAATCTTTTTTCAGTCTATGTGTTTTAAAATGTATTAGGCCTTTGCATTCACCAGAAAAAAGCTGACATTTTGGTAGTAAATTTTTAAAACTTTCAGCAGCACAAAAATAATATTTAAGTGAATTGCCAAATCAGTGGAATTTTCCAAAGTAGTAATAAGAAAACTTTGACCTCAAGGACTGTGAGTCCTGATCTTTCTATTTAGATTTCTGAGTCTCATAGTAGTTGCTAAAAGACAACTTTTGTTTCTTGTGATCTGTGTAACAGTCCCTTACATTTTGTCCTACCCTGATATTGTTTTTCTGGTTTCATACAGTCTCAAGAATCTTATAAGCTAAGAGCAGCCTATGGAAAACACAAAGAGAGGCTGCAGATGTTACAGACCAACTACAGAGCACTAAAAGAGCAATTAAAGCAGTGGGAAGAGGGTGATAGCAGGTAAGTTACATAGCTCATTGAAAACATTTTCCTTACACAAGAAATCTTAATAGAAGTATTACATAGGTATTCTAAAGAGAATGTAATTTGAAGGAAGAAGCTACTGTGTGGTGATCGAGACTTTCCTTTGTTAAAGCAGAATACATGACTTACCCCTATATGATAAACATTACAGTTGAAACCAAGAGGAAATATGTTGAGGTGACACCTTGACTTATTTTATTTAGGCTCCCATTGAGAGTCTGAGTACTGGACAAAGGTCAGCTAGGACTGCTTCCTAATGTTTGTCTAACTCCCCTTTTATTTTGTTGACTGCATGTTTTTAATTTTCTGTAACACAACAGTTGCTCATTATGTTTCAAACAGTTTTTCAAAATAGTTTTATTCATTAAAATATAGAAATAATACCCTCTCTAACATTTAGTAATTCATGTATTATCTGAAGCTAAAATCTTCTTCCTTATATGGGGAAAAATCAAATAATATGTGCATGAAAGCAGGGTGTTTTCATCTGTTAAATTATTTAAAACTAAATTATTTCTGATAATTTTACCCAAAAAATGCAGTAATATATCTTTATTAATGGAAAGAGGAAAGACTTTACCACATAAAATTTGCATAATGAACATTCTGTATATCATTCTCCCTTAGGCTCTATACAGAACAGTGAAAATTTTATGCAAAAATTCTCTTTTTTTTGGTCCTTAGCAGACAGAATTTTTGGTAAACAGATGCAATTAGAGGTATGAAAACATTTCTTATTAGTTCAGTTTTCAAGCACTGCTGTTTTTCAGGACCTGTTTCAAGAAAGGAATGCTATAGCAGGGCTTTAGCATTCACCTAACAGCTCAGTAAACACTTGTGTTTTACTAAAAATAATTGTTTTTGCAGTTAGAACAATACTGACTGATCTTGACACTAACTTTATAACTCTCTCAGAACAAAAAGAGAGTCACAGAAAATGCTGCAAAACTGGTAGCTGTTCTGAGTCTGGGGTGACATAAAGCAGCCCACTGTGAATGATTAACTGTTCCTCATATATAAGTAATGCTATGGCCTATCTTAGTAGATTTGCATTGCTTTGAAATACTAGCATTTACTTAGGAGCAGTTTGTCTTTCAAAAAGGAAAGAAAAAAGCCTGGATGAAAACAATGGTAAAGTACAAATTTGCTACAGGCATTGGTGGTAGCACAGGAGCGTTTTTTTGAAATGCCCAAGCATAATGACAAATATATTTGGTTAAATTATAATGAAAAGGTTTAGGTTTTTTTAGGAAAAATACGGGGTTTTTTTTCTTCTAGCTCACTGTTTAAAATTTAGTGCAATCTAGAAGTGACTTAAGGATGATAGTTACTAAATTCAATGGTATTATTTAATTCTATGTCTATACCTAGACAGGCTTTCATATCCACTGAGAGGCCAAGGCCAACAAGATAAAAAAAATTGAACTAGATAAAGACATTAAAATCTTAAACTCGATATACAGTGAAGCACTGGGTGTTCTGGTTCTGGCAGCTGAAAAAAAATGAAAAATAAAAGGGAAAGAGAGACAAAGGTGAATTCTGTTTCTGTTAAAAGTAAATGAGACGAGCGTGTGTTATAATGAATGTATTTGGGAAAAGTAGGGATTGGCCAGTCTTCACTTAGTCATCTAACTTTTTCATCTCTATTTAAGATGAGCTGAAAATAACAAGGTTTCAATAATTTTCGTCATCAGATTAGATTTGTATGAAGCCACACTAAAGGAGGTTTGGTTTTCATTTTTAATGCACTTCAACAAAGGAGACAAGACACAAAAGCAGTCTGTAACAATAAGACTGTTATTTTGGTATCTCAAAAAGCTGTATAGTGCTGCTGTAATGTAAATTGTGCATTAAGAACTCAGTATCAGGTGCTTATGTGGCATTTCTGGTCCTTTGTAAGTGATGGAGGACCCCATTCCCCATATTCTTCATAGATTAATATCTGTTATTGAGATGGCAGCTGATGTGACCTAATCCACCTGTCAGTGTACATACAACTTGCACTGATGTACGTGACTGCAAAGATGATGGAGGCCTTAGGAGGTTACCACATTGTCTAGGAGTTTATTTCTATGCTCTGTAGGAATTTAGATTGCAGTTTTAAATTGATTTCATAAAGGATTTTTTAATACAGCTTTTATCTTTGGCATTATTAAAATACCTAAAAATATTTTAATCACAGAAAAACTGTTAAACATTTTTATTTTATTTTTCTGTACTTCTAAAGTCAATATGCTTTTTATTAATACATAGATAGCGAATTCCTTTATTAAACTGTATAACAGCAGTGTGATTTAGAATGGGCATCATCTACAACTTCCAGATTGGCTTGCTGGGGCATTAGAGGAGCTGATGACTCTCCCTTTATTTTCAAGAGATTATGTGATGATTTTGACTTCTTCTTTCTTTACATACCAGTATTTAAAGCAATGTTGTCTGAGTGTGGGTGACATTATTTTGCCACATGTCATCTGGGAGGCATGATGTCGTACTAGCACAATATCTGTCTGAAACTATGTAATTGAACTTCTCTTTATTACCACAGTTAAGGTTTCATGCCTCAGAATGTATACTTCATAAAAAATTCAGATTCACTGCATGCTGTACTTGAAAATGTGTGTTTTCTGAAAGCAGGGGTCCTTTTATTCTGGTTCTCCTAAAACATTTAGATATTTGAAAACAAAAAACCTTTTTTAACTCGTAAACAGGTTTTAAAATAGTAAAAGCAGATACCATAATACAGGTTCCTATCAGCTTTGTCAAGAGGACTCTCATGTGATATGGAATGAACTGGCTCTTTTCAAAAGGGAGCAAAAAAAGCTATTGATTGAGAAGTGAGTTTGTTTCTTAAATGGTGTTTAAGTAAAGAAACATACTGTGTTTTTTTCTGAAGTGCTTTACAGGCCATACAAGAGGAATTCCTTGCAAAATTCCATTATAAAAACATCTACCAAACGGAGAAAAGGAAAACATCAGGTCTTTTTTTTTTTTTTTTTTTCCTTCTCTCTCCCCCTTAAATCAGTGACAAGTTACAAGTTTGCTAGCACTAACAGAAACTGTATTCCATGATCTAGGGATTGTGTTAATTAATGTGGCTCTCATCTGTTGGAGGTGTCGCTCTTCATTAGCCTGTATTTTACACACTGCCGTGCTTCATTTTTGGAATGAGGTGGTGAGGGGATAACCTAGCCAGCCATCCTTGTTTGATCTCTGTGATACATACGCAATGCAGAATGCCTCAGCTCTCTTGGTTCCCTGCCCTGTCCTGCTAATCCCAGCTGAGCTCATTATGGTGTAGCCTTGCTGCTACTCCTGGAGCCAGAGCTGTCCAAGCTAATTACTGGTAGCAGCAGAACTGCCTGTTAAGGGTCTGGTGTGGATCTGCTAACATGGTCCTTGGTAGTGACCTGCAAAAAGCACGAGGGAGTTGCTCTCTTTCTTGCTGTGCACAGCCTGTCCTTTGGGTTTAGTGCTGATCCCTTCACATAGCTCTTTCAGCTGTAGTAAGTGTAAAACTTGGTGAAGGAAACTCTTACTTTAGAAAACATACAGTTTGCTGCTTTGATCTCATAATTCATAGGCTATTACACTCAGCCAGGCAAAGTAAAAAAATGTCCTTTTATACTAGACAAAAGGAAGTTAGTATGATATAATTAGCCCTTTGCTGTGATTTAACACTTTCTGTAAGTAACTATGATTTTCTGTTTTAATTTAAGAATCAAGACATCATATAAAGTTTTATCCAGACTTTGTTTTTGTCAGCATTAAAGAAAATGTGTTTTCCCGATGGATCACAATGTAAACCCATTTTGTGTCAATATCATGAAGGTTGCTATCACAGAATTTCAACAGCAGCAAATTGTTTTGTTCTATGTAAGTTGTTGTGTTGACCACAATCTCCCTTGGTGTATTATAGGCAATGTTGCCAGTAGCTGTGTTACATGGGATATTCTTATATCTGCCAGTTAAAATTGTGTGCCTGTTCTTGTCACTTCATTGTCTTTTTTTTTTTTTTTCTGTTTTGAAGCTACAACAACAAATTATCACATGTAATTATTTTGTGGGTTTTTATTTTTAATTTTTATGTAGGAAAGAACACCTTCTTGCCACGTATGTAATTGCATACATGTAATTCCTCTTCCATCACTAATGAACACATTCACCACAGGCAATTACATAAGCCTTTTTTTTCACACAAAGCCATGCAAGAGAGATTGCTTATATATATTGTTCACACCTGGAAGATTGGTACAGTTGGACTGCTTTTCTAGAGTTCCTGTGCAGTCCCATTTATGGGAACAGCCTTATGTCTGGTATGTTGCAGATCATTGACCTTGACTAGACTGTGGTGAGATGGTATGAGCAAACAGCTGAGCTCTTCGAAATACAGCATTTGTAAGACAAAATGGGTTCATGGAAGTCCACATAGTAAGGACTTAGCAAGAAGCCAGTGCAGCATTGTGTTCATTAAGGTGAACTCCTTGTGTGGATTTAGGTGCTGTTTGCTCTTATAGGCAATGCCACTTACTGTTAGTTGAAGTAAGGAAGAAATGAATGCATAATTGCAGGGTTTATATCTCTCTAATAATGACAGTCTTTAAGTTGTTGAAAGAAGTCACCATTTCAGGATTTCAGCTCATTTTCTTAGGAAAATTTGTTGTACTTTTTAGATATGTGGATAGAGCTTCTTTTGTTAAAGACAAAAAATTTTCGTTTTTAAATTTTGTGGATAAAGAACATGATCTATGGAGCTGGACCAGTTACTTATATGAGTAATGTTACAAACAGTGTAAGTAAATCAGGTTAGCCCATAGGTTTTGTGAATGCACTTAATTTGAGGGAGCTTACTAATTGTTACCTATAAGTTGACATAGAACATACATAAACCAAAACCAGTGCACCTTTGCTTAAAGAAGAGTGTCTGTGTAGGGATTTTATTTTGGTTTAAGTAGTTGTAACTTTTAAAATGCATAATTTCTCTATCTGACTAAACCAAAGAGTGAGTTTGGAATATAGGATTATTTGTTACTGCTTGCTTATGTATTTTATCTACAGGAAAGATTTTCTCTTCCATTTTCTGAGGCATAAAGCAATGATGTAAAATGTCTTTATTATGCACATACATTAATCATGTTTTTAACCCTCCACTGGACCTGCTCCAGGGGCTCCATAGCTCCCTTCTAGTGAGGAACCCAGAAATGGACACAGAAGTCCAGATGTGGCCTCACAAGGGTTGAGCAGAGCGGCAGGATCACCTTCCTCAATATGCTGGCAATACTCTTCCTAATGTGCCACCAGGACACACTGCTGGCTCATGGACAGCTTGAAGGACCAAAGGACTCACAGGTACCACTCCAAAGAACTGCTTCACTGCACATCCAATTGTTCTGCTACCTGATTGCCAGCTGGCTAATTTAAACTATTTCAGCATTTCCTTATCAAAAGCTGGTTAGCTGGAGCATAGGGATACCCTGTCCCTTTGGCCTTTATATACAGAATTGTAAATGTATAGATGACTGGGTATAAACTATTGTGGAATCTATACAATTTCACATCTTTCATTCTGCATTATTTGTAGTCAACCTTGTAATAGATACCAGCAACACTCAATTATTTGACAAAGAACATGCTTCAACATTAGACATGATGATGTAAGTTGGCATTTACAGCTAGCTGGAAATTTGTTGTCTGTGTGAGTGCTCTGTAATTGTGCACGTCGTCCATTATAGGAAGTGTGCTCTGTGTCTTTAAAGCATATGGAATCACTACAGCCTCAGTCATATCCTTCCTCTGCTGTAGCAGCTGTTTAATAAAAGTTTTCTGATAAGCCTTCCATTTTTAGGTGAACAAGACCTCGTGGTTTCTGCTTTCCTTATTCCTGTGGAGTGAAAGCTACTGTTGTGTACCTGGTGTAGTGGTATGTGACAAAGTAGTTGACAGGCGCCTATCTTGGTACCAGCAACACCATGTGATGCCTCTTGCCGTTTCTCACTGTCAGAATGAGTATGATGGAGAAAAGCTAAATTAAGTGTGCTGGAATGCTAGCAGTAAGAAACACAAACAGAGGCTTTATTAGTTCCTTCCCTTCTTGAGTGTGTGTTTTCTCCCTCCTTCTTTAGCTACAGAACCTGCTGAAAAATACAGTTTTGATAATCTTGACAGTCTCAGGCAATAGGAGAGACCTGGTCATCAAAGACTTTTATTTTTAGACCTCCATTGTTTTGTGCAACATCCAAATATCCCAGTAATTTTTTCTGTGTTCTACTCAATAGGTACAGCATGTACCAGATGAATTTGTAACAAAGTGCATTCACACTACATCAATGTTAAAAAGTGTTACCTACAGCATACAGCCCTTCTGACTTGCATGTTTCCTCTGTAAAGTAATCTTTCTGGTTCTCAGTCTTGCGAGTGCTGGGACATAGCAGACATCCTACTAATAATAACTCAAATCCAATAGGTCAGGGCTGTTGTTTACTTTTTTCTGCAGTTAGTAATTCTGTAGTTCAAAGGCATATATAGTTAAAATGATGGTCTGTATGTGTTTGTTTAAGTCAGGATAGATAAAAATCTGAAATACCACCTTTCATTCTACTGGAAACAATTCCAGCCTAAATTTTACAGATGGTCTTGTAACTTCTGAGGGTTTTGACAAAGTGCATGCTTACTGACTGTGCTGAATATGGCAGTGAAAATGAAAGGCTCAAGTGTGAGACTGGGAAGGACTGCACTGTAAATAAATTAAAAAGTAAGAAATCAGCAGTGTTTGGTGTAATGCAGAGTATAGTTTCCAAAAGATGTTTTCATAGGACCAAAGTCAGAACTGCAAATGCCACATAAACTCGGGTAGGGGCTTTTCCTTATGAACAAAATGGCCCTTTTAGTGAAGAGAATTAGTTGGGTTTTTCTTTTCTAGCAAGCTTTCAGTTACATTTTCACAAAAACTATGTCAACTAACTGTTTTCCAGTGGGAAGGTTCTATCAAGGATGATGAGATTAATGCTTTTTAGTTGTTCAGCTTGTCTCTAGGACATTTCTTACCTGTGTCCACGACATCTTGTAATTTACTGCATCCTAGCTGACAGACAAATTTGAGGATTTAGTGGGTTTTTTTAATATCAAATGTGTTTGTGTTTTTCCTTTATTCTTTCATATTTAATCAGACTTGTCTTTTCTTGTCTTGTACTTCAGTGCCTTCTCATATATGACAGAATTGTGTCATGTTGAAAACATGAGTCATGCTGCTAAGTATTTTTTTTAATAATACAGAAGCAGGTAAACACAGAATTAAAGTTGCATTAGTGATAAAAATTGGGCATTGTCAAGGAGAAAAAATAGCAGAGAGATGGTGGAGAAAGTTAAGGTCAGCTTTCCTTTGTATTGCTTGCACAGAGCTAATGCTTGCCTCACTGTTGGATCACAGTGATTTTTGTAGATTATTTGGTTTAGAAATGAATTATTGTACTGGTGGCAAGCACACCACCTGCAAAAGAACTGTCTTTTTTCTTATCCCTCTGTCTGGCCAAGACAAAAGGTCTTGAGCATTTAGATGGAAATTTCTGGTTTATTAGTCTACAGATACGTATGCACGTATAAAAATAAAGAAGTAGTGTGTCATATTAAACTGTACTGAATGTTCACAGAAGAAGCCTATGAACGTACAGTCTCTAACACCAAAGCACACTGATTGCTGCTAACATGTCAGACTGCTCTTTTAAGAAAATAAGGAGTGAGTAATGAAAGTAAGTTTCTCTACAGTGCCTTCTGTGAAAGTTCTGGTATTTCTGGTAAAGGTAGCAAATGCCTTTACATAGTACTGATTTTGGAAGGGAAA